CACACACACACACACACACACACACACATATATATATATATATACATACATATATGCATATATATATATATATATATATATATGGTATATACCAACACACACATACCTACACACACAGACACGCACACTCAGATGCGTACACACACACAGACACAGACACACACACACATAGACACACACAAACATATATACACACATACACACAAACACACACCTACACAAACACACACATACACACACACACACACACATACACCCACCCAAACCAACACCCATCCAAACCAATACCCACCCAAACCAACACCCAAACCAACCACACCCACCCACCCACATAGGCACATACACACACAGGCACACACACACACATATACACACAAACACACACACACATACATACACACACACACACACACACACACACACACACGCATATATATATATATATATATATATATGCACTTTTGTGTCTATATTCATACATTTTATATACACATTCACATTCACATTCACATGCACACAAACACGCACACACATACACACATACATTCACGCACAGACACACACACAGACATACTCATATATATATAAACATGTATATATATATGCATATATATACACACACACACACACACACTCATACATATATACATATATATATATATATATATATATATATATATATATATTCATGAATTTTTATGTATATTGGCCTAGATACAATGTTACTCCAAACTTATGTATAGATGTGTATGTCCGCTTTGATTTGTTTATAGATATACGCATGTCCGATTAATGTACCTATATATTCACTTATATATACGATATATGTAGTTGTCTGTGAATTGGTATTTGCAGAGGTTTTTATATATCAGTTGATGCTTTATTCATAGATAGGTAACATATGTACAATACTATATAGATAACATACGTATACGCGTATTTGACACACGCATGCATTTTTACGTATTTGCATATATATTTATATATGCACACGTATATTCAAAATTGATATAGAGACTTTATAATTTCAATGTAACGTGTTGTTATTTGTTTATATACGCGAACATTTATTCCTCAATCTTTCGATCAATTGATTCGTTTTGTACTCAATATATAGACGACCATCTCAACTGTATAAATCCAAGTAGTGTACATACCCACATACGTACCTACTACGTACATCCACATTTATTTACAAAACAAGAGCCAATTGACAGGTGTCTCGCTGCAGACATTGATAAGACTATGATTTGCTACAGTACTATCATGCAGTACTAATCTCCTAATCTCCTATCTGCGTCTAGGTGGCCTGGTCGCAAACGTTGACTTCAGAGCGATCGAAGCGGAAGGTGAAACCTTTTTGATGGATTTGCTCCGAGCCAACGGCACTTCAGAGGGCACCCGAACGCACACACTCGCACACAAAAACGCTCACATCTCGTTATTCAACGGGCCTGACCTGGAGAGATGGAACTCGGGGGTAAGCACGGGTGAACAGTGCACGCCAGCGCAAGCACAGTTGTCAGCAACGGATGGGGGGGACAGTGAAGCAGGGCCGTATGAGCATATGCACACAGATGCACACATATCACGTGAGGGAGGGGCGCAGAAGCGAGTGCGCATGGTGACTTTGGAGTTCGTTCGGCTGGTGTATGTCCTGGGCGAGACTGAGGCCGAGGCACGGAGCTGCTTGGAGACCGCTGAGAAAAACAGCGGCGGTAGTCATGGCAACGGGGCGCCTACGCCACGCGCGGAATTCATAAACAAATTCGCCAGCGAGATGTTCGACAACGATCTGTACGTGGAAATGGCTGCAGACATGCTCCCCTTTATCTACCAAGCGTTCTCACACACACTCTTCCCTCTGCCCGTGCTGGTATGTGCGTTGTTGCATGTGCGTAGGCGGGCGTCGAGAAGGTTGCTGATGTGCCTGCTGTTAAACGTGACGTGTGTGGAGAAGGTGTTGCTGGACACTCTTGCTGCTGCAATAACCCATTCGCGCATGTGTGCCAAGGTGTGGGGAGGGACTGCAAGTGTCGGGGGAAGAAGTTCAGGTGCAAACGGGCCCACTTCCACGGCTGATGGTGCATCAGCATCTGGTGGTACTGATAGTACGCGCGGGAGTATGACGGGAAATGCACCGATTGTGTCCGTGTCCTCCACAGACAGTCTTGCAACGGACCCAAAGTCCGGTTATGCACACTCAGGTGCAGGCTCTGGCGCACACATCAATGCAAACTCAAGCCCCAACCCACAGACACATACGAAGGGCAATAGCGATAGCCGTGGAGTGAGCGGTAGCGCAGGCATCACCAGAGGCTCGCCGAACTCCTTCGTCCACCCCTCATCTAGTCCCAGAAGTTCGATCCTTTCAGCGGGACATAGCCCACGTTACGGAAGGTGTGTCCTGTGCGTAGTATTGCTGTATGTGTACCACAGATTGCGGACCGCTACCTCTTGTTTTCGGCGCTTTGACTCATAAAACGTTTATATAACGTGAATTTTTTAATGGGCACTGACTAAATGCCATCCCCGCCCACAGAACGTCTCCTCGCAATCAAACGCCAAAGCAGGGCTCCACTTCCGCCGGGAACCAATCAAAACCGCCCATTTACAATCTGTACAGCAGCGGCTCATACCTACTCATTGACCGTGTGGTGGAGCTGTGTGTGCTTGTCTGTGAGTTGTTTCCGCAACTACGGCCAGAGGTGTGTCAACTGCTGGCCGAGACAGACACCTATCTGTGGCTGGGCATCTACATCACCACAGTACTCGCACCCGCGGTACACACCGGCAAGGCACATCCACACACGAGCTCAAGCTCACGTCCACGGGGACAGATGGGCCCAGACATCGGTCCCCAAACCCACATGAATAAGGCCGCCCAGACCAGGGCTGGTCCGGATAGCATCGCAGCCACACACTCGCCCACATACACCGCTCATGCACCCGCACGTACACGAGGCTCTGTGAGTGAAGAGGGTGTCGGTGCGACAGCGAACGCCAGCGCGTCTGTGTCTGTGTCTGTAGGGCAGGGGACTGGCGGCGTAGCGGGGGGGCAGGATGCAGACCAGGCAAACGCCGAGGATGTGCACCTGGTGCAGTATATCCAGACCCTTCTGGGCAATTCGGAGGTGAGTGTGAGTCGGTTTGAGTGGGTGTGTGCGCCTGCTGTGTGCGTGCACCCGTGGGTTGTGTCTGCGGTCGTTCGTTGTTGTGTGGCACATCAGGTGTTCTCACGTTGTGAGAGCTGTCGTGTGTGTCGTTCGTTGACACGGCAGGCCGTCCCTGAGGAGTGCTGCCGGGAGACCGTGTGTGTGCATGTATACAACAACCTGTGCGTATATATGTATATAGCAACCTCTGTGTATGTATCTATGGAGTCACTCGTCCTGTTTTGTGTGTGTGTATGTATACAATAAGCTATGCGTATATATGTATACAGCAACCTCTGTGTATGTATCTATGGAGTCACTCGTCCTGTCTTGTGTGTGTGCATGTATACAACAACCTGTGCACATATATGTATATAGCAATCTCTGTGTATTTATCTACGGAGTCACTCGTCCTGTCTTGTGTGTGTGTGTGCATGTATACAACAGCCTGTGCGTATATATGTATATAGCAACCTCTGTGTATGTATCTACGGAGTCGTTCGTCCTGTCTTGTGTGTGTGTGCATGTATACAACAACCTGTGCGTATATATGTATATAGCAACCTCTGTGTATGTATCTACGAGGTTATTCGTCCTGTCTTGTGTGTGTGCATGTATACAACAACCTGTGCGTATTTTTGTATATAGCAACCTCTGTGTATGTACTTACGGAGTCATTCGTCCTGTCTTGTGTGTGTGTATGTATGAGTGTATACGGTGCGTGCATGATGCTGTCATCCATTGTGTGCGTGAAGACCGCACCAACTTCGGATTACAACAGTTGTTTCCTATCCTTCACACGGCTCTATCAGCGCCTATCCCGATGTGCGCACCAAGGAATCTACCCTCAGCCTCGGCTTCAACTGGTATTGCCTTCTCGACGAAGGGGTGGCACCCTTGCTACACATGGCACACACTCTCACTCATACCACGCAACACCTGCGTCGCACGCGTATGTATTCCAACGCAGCGACTGCCTGTACCGGTGCATATCAACGGCTATCCATACACCTCCAGCTCAGAGCTTCACCCACCCTGTTCGCATATCTCTCCCACAGACATGCGCGTGGTTGAAGACCCTCGTGCGGTTGGCCATGCGTCACAACGCCGCAGTGAATAGTACCACGTCCAACACCAGTGGGCTGCTCAGTAGCGATAGGAAGAAAGGCGCCGGCAGTGGCAGTGACAGTGACGAGCTGAGCATGAAACGGGCCGTGTTTGTGATCGACCCAATGCGCACACGGATACTGGAGGCCATGCGTACGCTCGTGGGCCAGTTGCGGACGAAAGCAGTCTCTGCGTATGTTTCGAAGAGTCGTTGGGGTTGTGGGGGGGGTCTCAGGTCTGAGTAGTGTTGTGTCCTCAAGCGGATATCTGTTGCTTCGTTATGCATGCCGTTGTGAGTGGTGTGTTGGTGAAGGCTAACTCTGTCAGCTACTGGGAATGCTTGTATTCGTGCACCCGCTACTTCCAGATGTGTTGGCTATGCATTCAATGTATGTATCCTCAGAGTTGTTTACGACCTTCCATTGGTAGACTAACCTGCACAGGTAAACTAATACCTATGCACCGGCCTTCCATTGATAGACTAACCTGCACAAATAAACTAATACCTGTGCACCGGCCTTCCATTGGTAGACTAACCTACACAGATAAAGTAATACCTATGCACCGGCCTTCCATTGGTAGACTAAATTGCACGGATAAACTAATACCTATGCACCGGCCTTCCATTGGTAGACTAACCTGCACAAATAAACTAATACCTGTGCACCGGCCTTCCATTGGCAGACTAATCTGCACAGGTAAACTAATACCTATGCACCGGCCTACCATTGGTAGACTGACCTGCAAAGATAAACTAATACCTGTGCACCGGCCTTCCATTGGTAGACTAAATTGCACAGATAAACTAATACCTATGCACCGGCCTTCCATTGGTAGACTAACCCGCACAGATAAACTAATACCTATGCACCGGCCTTCCATTGGTAGACTAACCTGCACAGGTAAACTAATAATTATGCACCGGCCTTCCATTGGTAGACTAACCCGCACAGATAAACTAATACCTATGTACCGGCCTTATCATTCGCCTAGTCTGTTCCATCCTTCGCACTCATCCCTCTCGTCCTTCCCATCTGTCGCCTGCAGCTCTGAACGCACCCGTCAGTTTGTGTGGGGGGCTGAGCTGCTGAAGACAGTGTGTGGCCTCATCGGACTCACAGGAATGCGGCTACCTGACCGCGAGGTGCGTATTTGCTTTGATCTGATTGGTGGAGCGTCCACCGCCCACACACAGGCTGTGTACGCAGACACACACGGACACGCGGACGGGCAGGGCTTTGTCTTTACGTTTTCAAATCCGGATATGAATTTGGGAATCAACGAAGCATCGGCGCTAAGAAATTCGGGTGGACCCAATACACCCAGATCTGCACCGGAAACGCCGACAACCGCACAGTCGGCTAAAAATAGATCAGCTGCCTCAGCCAACCAGATCACGACTACTGGCACTGGCGCTGCTAGGGCGTTCAGCCACCTGGCAACCATGTCGCTGTGCTTCCTACTCACCTGCCCTGGGCTTTTGGACCATCGTATTTCCAAACCACTCGTGGTGAAATGGGCCCAAACTGTCCTGAATGGACATGGGCAGGTCAGTCCCCACACAAAGAACGCCAGGACTCATACAGGTGTGTTGCTGCCGAGAGATAACAGTGACCATACGGCAGCACGTGATGTGTGAGAGAGTGTGTGACATTGTTGTGCACACGCATCACATTTGCGATCGTTGATCAAGTGCTGCAGGTGTACATGCATGCAGTTAGACAAATGCCTCAATGTGCATACACCATCGGAATTTTAAGTTATATCTCAAATTGTTGCATGCTTCGACAGCATACGTTTCAAGGGTGCTCGACTGGTACCACGTGCTTGTTGGAGGTGCGGTATCTTTATTCATATAGGTAGACTCACAGTCGCAGTAGAATTGAATTGTTCTGCATTCTTTTAAAGAACCCGGAGAAGTGAGTAACGGTGGGTCTGCGCAATGCAAACGAACAAACACACGCACTAAACTATCTGGTGACAGACTTGGAGTGTTCAACCATTCATGTGATATAATCAATGGGTGGGTAATATATTGTTATATATATAATCAATGTTAATTGTGTATGTAGGTTGTAGCTATACCTAGCCACTCTCACACACAAATACATATAGTGTACTGAATTTTGACATAAAAAAAATCTGTATCGCAACTTGTACCATCCTCTCCATAGAAGCACATATCTTTATAAAAATGTATCAGAACATTTCGTCTGAAATACTCATGTCTTTGTTTATTCTACAATCACACGTACACACACACACGCACTCATCATACACCGCTTGTACTCGCTCACCTAATATCAGCGCGTACAGGACAGAATGGGTCCACCTCAGGCCTTCAAGGGTCGCATCACGAAGCCATGTTACTTGTGGGGACTCATTTCCACAACCGACAGCTGACACTGATTGCCGAGCTCGTGCGCTCGTTACTGGATATGCACGTACAGGTATACAAGCGTGCAGCAACAGGCTTATACATCCCCACACACACAGAGAGGCTTATACAAGTACGCACGAACAGATAG